AAATTATGTTGAAAAATTGTTTTCATTCTAGCCTCTTGACTCTTATGTTTATCTCAACTGGGAACCTTCTCTATGTTATTCTCCCGCCTCGCGGTTTCCCAAAGAGGTAGTATGCCTCTCTAGTATTCTCAGTCAAGAGCTACCACACCTGTGATGTCACCGTGTACTATTTCTTGTGACTTCACAGCTTTTCTTTGTTCGTTTCCAACATAATTTTTGTGATAGTCTTTGTTTACTTTAATTCTTTGTGTGTATGAGCATGTTACAATTTATTCTTCGTGATGCATTTCTTTCTAATTCTTAGTAGACTTTTTCGATGTGGTTGTGCTATTGGTGAGTCATCAATTTGTGGTTTTCTCTCTTCTTTTGTGTCGACCGGCTTTTCCTTTGTGGTCTCACCTTCTGTCCGGTAGGTTGCTTATTCTTTCATATTGTCATATTGATTGAGTTTGCTGATCTTTTCACTTTTTTTCTTGATTCTCATCATGTCTAAACAACATGGAAATAAGAATTCTCCTGGAGACGATGAATCTTCAGAACCTATCTCAGTATTAGGAAGGAACACGCCTTGAAGGCTATCACCCTTGAGCGCATGCTCACTGAATTTGAACTTGGCATCCAAGGGATTTCTAAAGTCAACGAAGCAAATCTTGTTGGTCGAACCTTCTTTGTATTTAAGGCCAAATTAGTTGTCGCCGAATCATATTGGTCAAGATTCCAGGTCACGTGGTATGAGAGAGCTGAGTTGCAAATGCTGATAGGTGAATCAGACGATTTCCCATCGAACTCGTGGATGGATCGCTACTCTGCTTTGGAGAATGAGATAATTGAAGCAAGCGCCACTCTTCTCTGGGTCCAACACACAAAGGCAGCACAACAAATACAAGCAACAGTCTCTCATCCCGGTTCAGCATTTCATTCCACTGTGACCACTTCTTCTTATACCTACCCTACATCTAAGGCAGCCAACTCACACTGCCAATTCAGTGCATCTGCAAGTGCCTCAGAGGCAAAACAATTCAGGACGCAATTTTGTTGCTGAGCGCCCAGCTGCGCCAGAAAGGCATATAACCAGCGACACTTTGTTGGAAAACCATTGTGTCCGAGATTACTCAAATCTACAGAAAACCTCCAAGAGGTTAACAGCGCTCCATGAGCCACTTTATACAGGTTCTGAATGCCCTGCCGCTTCAGATCCTGATGAACCCAGCGACATTTTGCTGCCTCCAGCTGAGCGTCGACTACATCGTGCCTCCACGAGGTCACTAGTCGACCAGTCTTTACAAGCCGGGCTCCATGAGTCCCATTCCAAGAAATCTAATCGACCAGCTGCGTCAGATTTCAACAAAACCAACGATGTTCTGTTGGAAATTACAGTTCCTACAGTAGCATCAAATGCTTATACGTTTAGTGACATTTCACTTGAGTCATCTTCTTTCATTGAAGATAAACAACGTCGTCACACTTCCAAGATGTCGTTAGTACGACATAAATATTTTTCTCCCAGGCTCCCTAAGCCTCAATTGAAAACACATGATCGCCCAGCCGCGTCAAGTCATAAAACAGTGAACTACATTACTACAAGATACTCACATAGGCGGAATAATGCAGAATCGCAATCCATCTTCGAGAAATACTCAACTGAATACAGTTTACCTCCAGCTAGATACATTACTCTGCAGCAGGCTCTGCAACTTCTTAGGGAGATTATATATTTACTTCGGGTGGGAGATACCGATGTCATCTTATTTCCTTCATGTATCCGCCCACAACTCTTGTGTTATAACCAAGATGGCGGATACATGATCCTCGGATTGCGGCAGTTCTACAATATCAGTTCTACATCTCCTTCAGTAGAACCTGCCTTAGAAAATAGCTGATTTATTGCATTGTAAGAAACTTCTAACCTTCATTTATAGGCCATGACGCTTTCAGAGCGTTCATTATAGTTTATAATCAGAGCACTTTATTCTTCAATTTCACGCAATGTTAAATATTTAGTTTTAGTACCAACATCTTTGCTCAACCATTTTGCAATCCATCATTGAATTAGTCTCCGGTCTTCTACCTCATTTACAATTTCATTTTGTGTGCTACTTTTTCCTTACAAATTTTTAAATTTCTCAATTCCTAACACTTAGGAAGTTCAGATTACCTCTATTCCACATACCTTTTTGTTCCCATGGTCTTTGCAGGGTGGGCGGTATGTGCAAACTTTTGTTTAGCTATTTTAATTAGTAACTCATGTGCTACAGTTTCTTTGTTTGTCGTTTTATATATGACTCCAAACAGCACACCTTAATATACCATGATACAAGTAATCAAATACCCACCTCAACTCCTTAATAAGTTGTTATGGATTAATAATTATGTAGTATAGTTTCTCCCAAACTTCAACAAAACCCAAGGTTTGGATAACGAACAGTACTGAATGATCTAAATTCATTTGCTGAGGAGTTGTAATATGCAATCAGTCAAACCGTTTGCTAAAAACAAAGGTAAATTCACTGATAGGAAGTACTACATAGTATTTCCAGTAAGTTTCTCTATGGTAAGTTAATCTATCTCAGGAACATTCTTAAAACAGAGTTTGAACAAATTTTAATTATTCCTCTTAGATGGAAGATCACTCAGAGGATTGAGGACTCCATTAACTTTTTCTAGTCTGTTAATGTCACTTATTCAAGGAGTCATATTTATTTATTGTTTTTCTATCTTTACTTTATTCATTCTTTATTCAATGCCTTGTATCTCAAGTAATCAATTTATTTTAGCATTAATTTTTCCTCAATTAACATTTGTTTCTGTTTTCTCTTAATTGAAGCTCACCAAGGCACCTTACAAATGTGTTTTTCTTTATTTTTAAATTATTAAGTATAATTTAGGTGGGCGGTTTGTTTAGGGTTGATCACCCTAAATTGAGGTTATCCCCCCCTTCATGGGGTACATGAAGCCAGGTAGGTAACACTGTACGACGGTGGGGCAGTTTGCACAAAATTTAGTAGCAGTGGAGAAAAAAAATGGGCGACTGAAGCCACACGGAGAAGTAGACGAACACTCCATCCTCTTCAAGACCACCTTTCTTGCTGTTCTACCATGGGAAGAGGAATGGAGTAGAACACCGAGACCTACCGGACACATGGAGGTGAGGAATTACTACAGCCGGCCGACCACCGATAGCGACCACCGTATCTCAGACATCAAGTAAACGATTGTAACCATTATACGCCAAACCCCCATCTTTATATACTGTTTAAATATAATCATAATTAATTTCATACAGTCCACTTGTTCTTTCAAATACCCAATAAACATCTGTACCATATCATAATAAAAATGATGGTACAACCCATTTCAGAGGGGATCATTTTTGGCAGGTTGAATGACTTAAGTGAAAGAGCCTGAGGATTATCTAATAATCAGTATAGTTTTCAGAAGGGAAGGTCACAATCGATGCCATCAATTTTGCCATCAGAACCACTCGAGAAGCCATTGTGGGAAAGAGGTGGTAAGAAATACTGCACCATTATAACATTGAACGTTAAGAATGCTTTTAATTCAGCTTGGTGGAATTTTATCATGGATGGAATGCAAAGGATGGACGTCCCACAATACCTCATAAAGATTATTGAGTTATTTTAGCAATATAATCTTGAGGTATGATACTGAAGCTGGATCGAAAAGTTACAAGATCACGTTTGGCATTCTTCAGGATTCATTTTTAGGGCAATTGCTGTGGAATAATATGTATGCCACAGTGCTCAGACTACCCATGCCTGAATAAGAAACATAATAAGAAACCATTATGCTCAGTCAGCTTTGCAGATGATCTAGCAATCATAGTTCATAAAGATTCATGGAGAAGATATGTTATAATAAAAACATGGCAGTTGCAACCATTCATCAATGGCTTTCAGCAATAGGACTTTAGCTTGCTGATCATAAAACTGAAGCAATGTTAATAAACAGTAGAAAAGTAAGAGAGACAATCAGTCTCACCATTGGGGAGTTTAACATCTTATTCCTGCCATTTATTAGATTGCACAAAGTTAACACCAGAGCAGCACAAGTGATTAATGAATTGGCCAGCATTATGTCAAATATTGGTGGATCAAGAGAAAATCTGAGAAAGCTTCCGGCTAATATAGCTAATTCTATGCTTTTGTATGCAGCACTAATCTGGGCTGAAGCCTGCTAAATCCAGTCATATGTCCTTATAGCAATCGGTGTGCATCGAAGAAGTATCTTGCGTGTCACTCAAGCTTTTTGAATTGTGTCCTATGATAATGTGGGCATCATCGCAGATATAATTCCGATTGATCTTTTGGCTGATGAACGCAGCCAGATGTTCTGAAGAAAATAAGAAGAGCCGGATGCATACTGAGCTATATTAGTAAAAGAAGAGAGAAATTATACTCTTGAAAGATGGCAGCAAAGTTGGAATGCCTTATCTTCTGGAAGATGGACTCACCGTCTTATTACATAAGAGCTTACAAATAAGATGTACAAAGAAAAATTAAATATATAGCCCTTCTGCCCCCCCCCACAAAGCAATGCTTGACAGCAGTTCTGCAGGGCGGTAAAGAAGAATTTGGAGGTGTTTTTTTAGTGAGTAGGAATCTCACACTGTGGTGTCACCTCACACTGTGTTTTTGTTGTTGCACCTCCCCTTATGCATCATTTTTCGCCTATACACAATTAAAAAAACACAAATATATATATATATATATATATATATATATATATATATATATATATATTGTTTATAAAATCGATAGTACAACTAGAATATAATCTCTTTTGAAATGGCCAATTTTAGCACCAAGGAAGGAATGATAATGAACATTGTAATTATCATGAATTAAAAACATGTGATAGAGTTCAGAACATTATAAATAACTAGAAGAACAAAATTAATTTTTTTAAATTTCAAATATTATTCTTTTAAATAAATATTAATTAAACCAAAATTATGTAATAACGTAGTAAAAATTAATTACTTTTAGTTCTTGAACTTGGCCAGCAATGTGCCACATTAAGGTTTCATTCAGTAATTTCATTCCGTATGGTCCAATTAATTCAGCTAGGGCACGCAACTCATTAATATCTGAAAATTCTTCAGCATTAAATGGAATAGCACCCTCAGCAGTTAAACTTACAAATGCCTTTTGATTCATGGAGAAACATATGCTACCAGCACTAACACGTCTAAGGAGAACATCTGAATACCTACCAAAAATTACAAAATTAAAATTCTTTATAATAACATTATAATTCACCTTAATTATTAACAAAGCAAGTTACCATTGCGTATACAATGCAGCAACCGTTTTTTCTCCATGGCTATCTACTTGCTGTGTTTGTTGTAATAATGCATTATTAAAAACTCTTGTAATGTCAATATGGACTAAAAAAAAAGATTAACAATATTAGGAAATTATGGAACTATTGCTTAATGCGTCCACACAAAAATAATAAAAATACTTACTAAAATAAAAATAAAACATTTTGGGAAATAGCTTAATGGGAAAACACATGTTTATTATGTTTTATTGTAATAGGGAATATGCATTTTTTTTTAATTATTCCACATGTTTTACAAAACATTTTGGTCAAAACTAGAGTGTGCTATGATCTACGGTTCAAAAAATCAGTTTCAGGCTATATAATAAGAACGACGTGGTAGATGAGAATGGTTCACATAGTCTAACCGATTGTTCACTTTTCATCTAGTACACTCTTTACTAGAATAAGTATTCCGTACCCGTATTGATTTGTGTTCTTTCCGGCAAGATGGCATGTTGTGTCGAGCCAATGTGTAAATCTTCAGACTAAAACACCCTATGAATATTTTTTCTGTCTTTCAATGGATAAAAGAAGTGCCTGAATGAAAGCAATAAGAACTCCAACAGACCATTGATTGGTTTGTCAACCAAAATTAACTATTTATATTATTAACCTAACAAAAGGAAAAATTATATTATATTTAAATTATATTAAAAGAAATTGAGCGATAATACAGAGTATAGTAGAAATTAAGATGATTAAGAAAAAATTATAGACAATTGAATGATAAAGGTAAATTTGATTTTATAGTAGTTTCTATTAAACCTTATGTATACAGCACACTTTAATTATCCACAAAAAATTGCTTTTCAACTCTTGAAAATGAGAAGAAACTATATTAATGATAGCATTGAAGAAAAGTTATTAATACATGACAAATGATGAACTAGAAATTTGAAACTCGCAGTAGCAATGTTTTACACAATGTTGCTATTCATTCAGGATTCTCATATGTGTTCAAGATTTTAAGGTATTGTATGATGTGTAAGGATGATCAACCTCATACCTCATAAGAAATTACGAATTACAAGCATACATAAGCGAAATTATATTTTTATAAATGAAGTCTAGATTTGTTTAATAACTATTTTAAATGTTTTTATTTATTTTAGGCAGAGAGTATAATCCTCGACTCCCTGGGAATCATCCACCACCATGTGCATGGGAGCGGATAGGGGGAGAGTTTGCTCGCGAGGGGGAGGCATGCGTGTGTTACAGCATTTTTTATATTATTATTTATTGAACACGTCCACTGTACTTTATGAATTTTTTATGTATTAGGTTAGAAAGAGAGAGGAGAGAATGTGAGTGGGAACATGTATAGGGGGAGAGAAGGAAGAGAAAGGGTACAGAATGATAATAAATGAATGAAAGAAATAGTAAAAATTATAAAAAAAAAAAAAAAAAAAAAGGAAAAAAAAAAAAAATAATATATATATATATACGTATAAAATATTGTATACTATGCTCATACATATTGTTAATCCTATAATTGTATAATAATTTTAAATAATGTCTGTAGTGATTAATAAGTATGCTGTGTTGTTAGCAACCCAATGTAATTGGGCAGCACCATTTTATTTTATTTTATGATAATAAAGTGATTCTCTCTCTCTTATATGATATATTTACCTTATGTTGCTTTATAGACTAATAAATTGAATTAATATCTACTACTACGATTATTGTACTTCTTTATAAAACTGTGACTGTTTATATGTTTTTTGAAAAGTTAGAGATAAGGAAAATAAAAACTTAAATGTTATAATAATTTTTTGAATACTACTTTTTATATTTATTTATTAGCATTTTATTTCAATTACATATTAACTAGTTTCGAATTTCTACTAAGTTATAATAAATTTTTTCCTTTAGTTTTAATAATGATAGGAAGTGAATCCTTTAAAATGTTTATTTTATTTTGTTTCATGAGATTTTTCCTACTTTTTTATTTCCTAAATAATTATTTTTCTATTCAAAATCCAATTACACTTATAAATAATTATACATTTATAGATATTTACAAATGCTTATTATGCATTATGTTAGATAAAAAGAAAATAATACATAGGTTTGAGTAAAAATATAAAAATATCTTTTGCTCACAGCGAAGACTGCAGAAATGTAACAACTCGATTGTTATTTGACCATGTGACGTCATAACAACAATATTGCCAGTTTTGTTTAGTAAACAAGTTTATAAAACCTATAACTAACCAACAGATTTTTGTCAAACTTCGGAGATAGTAGTTTTAAAAGCAAAAGTTTTTTTAACAAAATCTGTGACATATGCATATACCCCATTAAAACGACAAGATTTATTTATAATTAGATAAAATTATCCTTTAAGTTTTAGGAACTTTCAACTTGCTAATTGAATTAATTTTGTATTATTGAGTTAATTATTTCATTACATTGTACAGTGAAGTAAATGATAATTGATTCAACTAACCTGAACATTAGCAATTACCAAATAAAGAAAAGGTAACTGCCAATGTTCACATTAGTTAAGTGAATTATCATTTATATAGCATGAATTATTACATAACAAGCTATAAACCAAACCGATAACAAGTATATGAAGGTGGGTGTGCGTAGTGAAACAAGGGCAGATACAAGCATTCAGATAGGAGAGTTCAAGGTCAATCCACCTTCAATAGATGGAAAAATTTGTTTACCTGCGTACTTTGGTAAACTCTAACAATGACATAGAGTGAGATAGACAGAAGAATTATGCCATCTAATAAGTGCTATTTCGGACTCCAGAGACACATGAATAGCAAATTCCTTTCCCGAATAATAAAACTGTGCTTGTATAAGTCATTAATAAGAAAGTTCCTAACCTAGGGTTCTAATTGTTGGACTATATAAAAAACCACCGAGCAGGTCTTACAAAGATACGAATGCCAGATTCTTCACAGAATATTTGGCCCAGTCTGTGTTAACCAAGAGTGGAGACAGAGAACAAATGTAAAACTGCAGGAGCTGTTCCAGGATAGTGATGTGGTCAGATTTATTAAAATTGGTCGACTCTGTTGGGCAGGTAACATGGCTAGGATATATAATAGGAAAATTTCGAAAAAGCTCATCACTGAACAATTATTCAGAAGAAGACCAACCAATTGGAAGACCCAAACTGCACTGTGGTGATGATGTCGCAGCTGACGCAAGATGTTACAGGAGGTTTTGACCCCGTGTGAGTTGTAGTGAAAAAATGATGATGATGAAAAAAAAGAAAACTAGAATAACTCTAATTATATTGTTAAAATTAACTTTATTTAAGAGCTAAAAATATTGAATCATCCATTGATTTTTTTTATTTGAAACCCACCAAAAAAATATGTATAAGGCAAAATATAATTTTTTTAGTCATCCTTGACATACATTGAATTACAAAATTAATACTATAATAAAGAAATAAATAACAGATTAGACAACATTTTAAATTAAAATTTCCAATAATTAAATTGAACATAAACACTTAAAGCACTGATCTTAATTTTTTTTTAATAACATGCATATTTTAAATAATATAAAATTATTCCATGAATTTACCATAATTTTCAACAGTCTGAAGTACATTCATATAAGCTCTAACACTTGCAAGCAGTTCTGATGGCTTTGCTATTTCATTTGTATCTGGGTTAAACATAACCATTCCAACAAGGGCACGTGAAAATCTATTTTCTAAATGTTGATGCAAATACTCTCGTGGAGCAAAAGTATACTCCCACACATTGATCGTAGCACAATAATTAAGAGCAAAACAAAGTTCAGTCAAAGCCATGTGTAATTTATCCATCCTAAAAAATAACTCGGATGTATTAATGTAGGAAGAAGTAATTAGTAATACTTAATTTTATCAATAAATGTTTTTAAATGATCATATTAACAAAAGTAAATTAATACAAGTTAAGAATAGAAATATAATAAATCATCTTCTCCACCACACCACAAACTAAGCATGGCAGCTCAACTATGAAAGGAAAAAAATAATAAGAGAGAGGTAGGTCGGACCAATGGAATACATAGTAAATATGCGAGGACAGTTTACAGAATCGAGTAAACGAAGGCCAAGGCTAAATATATGTGGTGATGGAGGATTCCTAATGAGTTTAAAATAATTGTTTCTGTCATAGTCTGCATCTGCTCTCTTCCAACAATGAGCCCCTGCAAGAAATTCGTTGTAGTAAGAGGAATGGTTTCTCTGTTTCTTAATTGTAGCCCTTTAACTGAGAATTTTCTCATGCCATATTTATCTCTATATTTTTCCTTTAAGTGAGGCAATTATAGATTTTTTAAAATTATATTAAGAAGAAATAATCCAATTTTAACAAACAAACATTTATGGTTTACATTGATTCTGAAATTACATAATATGATTATTAACATAACATTTTTTTTATCAACATAAATAAATATTTTTAGTATATAGTACTTTAAACAGGCGACTTTTTTAGTTTCCTAGTAGAAATAATCACCTGATAATATGGCAGCCATTTTTTGGTGGGAGGTAAGAAAAGTAGAAGGGGAAGGTAATTAAGTCGGGGAAGGTAGTCATGTCAAAGAGAGCATACAAGAAAGAAGTGTTTTTTAGCACAAGACAGTTTAATATTTTATACAATGAAAGTCAAACTAGGATGTCTTATGGAATTGAGTCATAATGAGAACAAGTTGGTAGAAGAAGTATTAAATAGTCTTCAAAATAATGAAGTATTAAATAAAGAAGTATTAAATAGTCTTCAAAATAATGAGGTATGTACTTCATATATATATATAGATTTAGATTTATATGTGATTTTACATACCTATACATATAAATCAGTTATATCCAACCAATTTTTTTGTCTTTTCTTTTAATAATGTACCATTATTCAAAATTATTGAATACCTTCATGTAGCAAGGAAATAGAGAAGAAAAGATCAAAATGATTGGCTAATGCAATAGATTTTTGGTACAATTATACAATTTAGTCAACCTTAATTTATAACACACACACATATTATAAGATATATATATATATATATATATATATATATATATACACACACATATACATACATTTACACACACATACATATATAAGCAAGCACACGCGCACACCAATATATATATATATATATATATATATATATATTTTTTTTTTTAACATAATAATTTAATTGAGAATAATGTCACTTACTTATTTATTCCCAATTAAATTATTATGTTAAAATATAATACTCAGAGGTTGATAGAAGAAAATTTGTAAATATATATATATATATATATATATATATATATATATATATATATATATATACACATACATACACATATATACACACACACACGCACACACATATGATGTGTGTGTTATTTATTGTAAACACAACATAGTTTATAATTTAAAGTATAACTGAGAATACATTTTTTCGCATATTAGCTTCAACATTAAATTTGACTTATTTGATCGTTGCAAGTTTTAGCAGTAATAAATGTGGTAAAAAAATGAATAATTCATATTATCCACTTCAGCATGTAAAACATAAGACTAATGAATAAAAAATATAGAATTGATGAAAACAATTTTATATAACCAGCTGACTTTACTTATGGTTTAAAAAATTACAATAATTTAATTTCATCAATACTTTTTATAAGTTAATCTTGGGTGATTATAAGGTTTTCTATTAAATCAGATGTGGTAAACAACTAATTATTAAAAAAATAATAATGAACGAAAGTATGATTAAATTTGATTCAAGTAAATACCAATACATCGTACTGTTGGACGATTCCATGAATTTATAATCATATTATATTAATGCATTATAAATTATGAATTTATGAAAATTTTTATGACAAAACATATTTTAATGTAATCAAACAGTAACGATGACTTCCGGACAGCCTCCCCCCCACACAAAATCTACATACAAAATGTGGCTACAGATATTTTCATTGAAACAAGGGCTACTGGCTGCAAAAATGACAGCAGTTCATGTCTGAAGGCATATCATACTACTTAGCTATATTTAATTCCTCACAACCTTTTTGTCTAGTCCTACATAACCCAAACTAATTAATGTTTTCATGAATACCTACTTTTATACTAATAAAGCCAATCTACCCCATTGAGAATTCACCTTAATATTACAGATTTTTTTTGTGATATATATATATATATATATATATATATATATATATATATATATATATATAATGTTGGGGTAGTTATTACAATAAAAATCAACATGGATATTTCATATCTAAAATTAAAAAAACTTTAATAATACAGGCCGGTGAAATTTAACTAAATAGATTACTACAAAATAATGTATCTTATAAAAGATTTCATGATAGTTATAAACAACTGAAAATAATCCTTAAATGCTATTGAAACACATCATTTAATATACAGTAAATAATTTAACAAAATAAAACTTTGAATAAAAGTCAAAACAGTTCTTATTCATTTCAATAAGAAAAAGTAATTAATGGCATCATGATATCTGATAGATGAGCAATTATTTATCTACTATCTATAATGAGGTCACCTGAAACATTTTCATCATTTTGGATGGTGTTGTATTACTAACTTTATCTAGTGTTATTAGTAATTTAATAATAAAAGATAACTGTATATAGAATTAATTACCATTTAAACTTTAAAAATATTATTTAAAATATTCAGAATAAACATGTTGATATATTAATAATTTTAATTATCCTTACCCGTTTTCTTAAATAAAAATAATAACGGTTTATGAAAACATCAACATTTTTAGGTATGATAGAACATAGGAATCATCAATAATATTAATATTTGATCAATAGCTCAACAGGATTAACATTAGTTTAAAAACATTCTTTCCATATGAATTTCATTTCTTTATAAACTAAATTTGTTTTTTACTTTTATGAGTTTCTTTCAAGTTCAAATATGATCAGTTGGGTCCAAACTTTCATGCAAAACAAAAGGCTAAATATTTGTGTATATACATAATTATATTTTCACAAATATATAACAAAATATGAGAAATATGTAAAAATAAAAATGCCGAATGTTGGTGAAAAAAAGAAAGGAAAATATTATAGAAAAATTTACATATAAATTAACGTTTAAAACTTGTTAATATAAGGAGCAGCAATATAAGTAAAATAACACATAAAAATGAATAAAATATGTAAAAATGTAAGTTTTTGTGATAAGCTAATGTGAATATAGAAAAAATAATAAATAAAATGTGAACGAAAGAACATTGCTACAATAGCAATATAATATTTTCTATATTTTATATAAAATATACCAATAGTATCAATTGTAGGAACAAAATTTCCCAACCAAAATAACTTTGGTCCCAAATGATCAATTAAACTCCTTTCGAGAATGTAGTTCATAAAGTTAAACAAGAATTGGTTATTTTGTGATGTATTATACAAACACTTTGTCAGAATGCATATCAAGTATGTGTTGGAGTGTAACCATACATAAAATACAATAATCACTCGCCATCTATAAACTAATAAAATAATATAGTAACAAAAAGTTTTTAAACTTCTCAAGGTTTATAAAAAATTATGATATAAGTATAATATATACTTATGATATAATTATTGTGTAGAATATTGGGAACAAAGAAGGATGAGTCAACCGGAGAATTTGGGCGGTTGGTTGCACAATACTGAATTGTGCGAACTGTACCTGGTTAATATAATTGCGATGATTATGTTGAGGCAAACAAAATGGGTAATTAAAATCGCTGGACTTAGTAACGGAAGAATTTCTAAAAAGTTAATGTGCTCTATGCCGAATAGTGAGTGTCCGAGGGGTAGACCAAAGTAAAGTTGGGAAGATTGCGTTAAGACTGATCTGGTGGAGTTGGGCCTGTTGGATGGAAGAAGGTAGACATCAGCTGGTGGTATCGGCATCGAACCTTCAGGTTTGCTAAGCCTTTTTGTAATTATCATTATTAGAACAAAAAGTTAAAAATACTTAAGTATATAATATAGAGAGAGATAGGTTTGAATACTTTTGTTTTTAAGTGAAACAATTTAATAATATTAATAAAAAATAATTGCTGCAACAACTCCAACCAACTCCTAAAAAAAATTGTAATACAAATCTGTATAACGGTAAGTATAAAAATAGTATGGTATGCATAGAAATAAACTAAGTTTTTTTTTTTATAAATTGTTTTAGGAAACAAATGGAGATCAAACTTCTGAGGAAAATGAAGACAAAAATAAAGGAAGGTCTAACATGATAAATATTCAACACATTCCTAATAAAAATGATGAAACAGTAGACTGGGCGAATCATTCCCAAGAAATTAGTAATTCATTGCCTTTTGGTTCTGCAACTGAAACCACAGGTAATGTAAATGCTCAAATCCATCTATTGGAAGGTAATTCATTAACAAATAGTTTAGAAGATGCAATCCCTCCAAACATATCGCAAATAAATGCAAACCATAATTTCATAAATGAATATGACATAATTAAAGAAAATGAACAAAGTTCAGAAGCAATAAAATACATTATGGAAGGAGAACAGCAAACAATTTCAGTTCAAGATTTCATTCAAAAAGAAGTATCAGATACAGTAGCCTCAAATGAAAGGACAGAACAGTTCAAAAGATACCACTTTCAAAAAGAATTAGATTATAAAATTAAATCTCAGCAAATCATGGCACAGATCATTGGAAATACTAATAAAATTTCAAACAAAAAAGAAAGGCGGAAGAAGAGAAATACTCAAAAATCTTCAAAAAAACCAAAACAGAGAATTATTATGAACAAAGACACAATAATGTATAATGCAAAAGGAAATCCATATGTACACTATCAGGAAGATTTGGAATCATCATACAATAGCAATTTTCAACATGAAAATATAAATTATCTAAGGAATGAATATATCAATCAACCAAATAATACACCTTTAGTAAAAACACAAAGTGAGCTTAATTATGTTAATACCTCTTACAACACTGATTATATAAATACTGGTAAAGTAGTTTTGCCTCAACCATCAATAATGGTACAAAATCAACCTATAATGAGAACCAGCCAATTCTATGAAACAGGAATCAATACTCAACAAGGTGCTCACAACCAGCTTTATGAATCAGGAATAAACACAAATCATAGCACAACCAGACAGCTTTATGAATTGGGAACACAAAATAATGATTATGGCACAACCAGAAAGCTTTATGAATTGGGAACCAAAACTAATGATTATACAACCAGCCAACTTTATGAATGGGGAATCAATAAAAATGATTATGCAACCAACCAAACTCATGGATCAAGAAACAATACATATGCTTCTGCAACCAACCAACCTTATGGACCAAGAACCAATACCAATGATTTTGCAACCAACCAACCTTATGGACCAAGAACCAATACCTATGATTCTGTAACCAACCAACCTTATGAACCAATAACCAACACCTATAATTGTGCAACCAACCAACCTTATGGACCAAGAACCAATACCTTTGATTGTGCAACCAACCAACCTCATGAACTAAGAACCAATACCAATGATTGTGCAACCAACCAATCTTATGGAGCAAGAACCAATACCTATGATTGTGCAACCGAACAACCTTATGGACCAAGAACCAATACCTTTGATTGTGCAACCAACCAACCTCATGGACCAAGAACCAATACCTATGCTTCTGCAACCAACCAACCTTATGGACCAAGAACCAATACCAATGATTGTGCAACCAACCAGCCTTATGGACCAAGAACCAATACCAATGATTGTGCAACCAACCAACCTCATGAACCAAGAACGAATACCTTTGATTGTGCAATTAACCAACCTCATGGACCAAGAACCAATACCTATGCTTCTGCAACCAACCAACCTTATGGACCAAGAACCAATACCTATGATTGTGTAACCAACCAACCTTATGGACCAAGAACCAATACCTTTGATTGTGCAACCAACCAACCTCATGGACCAAGAACCAATACCTATGCTTCTGACACCAACCAACCTCATGAACCAAGAACCAATACCTTTGATTGTGCAACCAACCAACCTCATGGATCAAGAACCAATACATATGCTTCTGCAACCAACCAACCTTATGGACCAAGAACCAATACCTATGATTGTGCAACCAACCAACCTTATGGACCAAGAACCAATACCTTTGATTGTGCAACCAACCAACCTCATGGACCAAGAACCAATACCTATGCTTCTGCAACCAACCAACTTTATGGACCAAGAACCAATACCAATGATTGTGCAACCAACCAACCTAATGGACCAGGAACCAATACCAATGATTGTGCAACCAACCAACCTTATGGACCAAGAACCAATACCAATGATTGTGCAACCAATAACGATGATTGTGCAACCAACCAACCTTATGAACCATGGATCAATACCTTTGATTGTGCAACCAACCAACCTCATGGACCAAGAACCAATACCTATGCTTCTGCAACCAACCAACCTTATGGACCAAGAACCAATACCAATGATTGTGCAACCAACCAGCCTTATGGACCAAGAACCAATGCCAATGATTGTGCAACCAACCAACTTTATGGACTAAGAACCAATACCTATGCTTCTGCAACCAACCAACCTTATGGACCAAGAACCAATACCAATGATTGTGCAACCAACCAACCTCATGAACTAAGAACCAATACCAATGATTGTGCAACCAACCAACCTAATGGACCAAGAACCAATACTGATGATTGTGCAACCAACCAACCTTATGAACCAAGAATCAATACCTTTGATTGTGCAACCAACCAACCTCATGGACCAAGAACTAATACCTATGCTTCTGCAACCAACCAACCTCATGGACCAAGAACTAATACCTATGCTTCTGCAACCAACCAACCTTATGGACCAAGAACCAATAACTTTGATTGTGCAACCAACCAACCTCATGGACCAAGAACCAATACCTATGATTCTGCAACCAACCAACCTTATGGACCAAGAACCAATACCAATGATTGTGCAACCAACCAACCTAATGGACCAAGAACCAATACTGATGATTGTGCAACCAACCAACCTTATGAACCAAGAATCAATACCTTTGATTGTGCAACCAACCAACCTCATGGGCCAAGAACTAATACCTATGCTTCTGCAACCAACCAACCTCATGGACCAAGAACTAATACCTATGCTTCTGCAACCAACCAACCTTATGGACCAAGAACCAATACCAATGATTGTGCAACCAACCAACCTCATGGACCAAGAACCAATACCTATGATTCTGCAACCAACCAACCTTATGGACCAAGAACCAATACCAATGATTGTGCAACCAACCAACCATATGGACCAAGAACCAATACCGATGATTGTGCAACCAACCAACCTTATGGACCAAGAATCAATACCTACGATTGTGCAACCAACCAATCTTATGGGCCAAGAACCAATACCTTTGATTGTGCAACCAATCAACCTTATGGGCCAAGAACCAATACCTTTGATTGTGCAACCAACCAACTTAATGAAATAGGAATTAATGAAAATAATTATTCTAACAAGCAATTTTATGAATTGGAAATCAATACAAATAATTGTGCAATCAACCAACTTTATGGATTGGAAACCAATACAAATTATTATTCTAACAACCAAGTTTATTCGGGTACCAATACAAATAATTGTGCAACCAACCAACTTAATGAAATAGGAATTAATGAAAATAATTATCCTAACAAGCAATTTTATGAATTGGGAATAAATACAAATAATTGTGCAATCAACCAACTTCATGGATTTGAAGCCAATAGAAATTATCTTTCTAACAGCCAAGTTTCTTCGGGTACCAATACAAATAATTGTGTAACCAGCCAACTTTATGAAAGGGGGATCAATGAGGGTGATTATGCAACCAACCAACTTAATGAATTACAGATCAATACAAATAACAAAGCTACCTACCAGTTTTATGAATTAGAGGTCAATTCAAATAATGGTGCTGTTTACAATCAGTCTACTAATGTGGGAAATATTACTAATTCTACAATCCTATCTGAGCAAAGCAATAGGACAATAATAAACAACACAAACACCATTAAAAGTCAGGTAAGTCTGATAAATGACATGACTATGGTTAAATAACAATAATATGTTTGTCTATTTTCACTTCACAGTTTATGCCTCCCAGATATTATGATATAATGATCAAACCTTTTAAACACTATAGAATAATATGTTTGATTCAAGTTTGTGTAAAGAAAATAATTTCAAACTGTCATTTATCCCTTTGAAACAATCAAAATTAGAATTATACATCACTATTTTTTTTTTTTTTTATATAGAATAAAAAGGCAAACCATTATTGTTTATAGAGTATGTAACTTTGTATAAAAAAAGAAACTTTGCATTAAAAATGTTATAGTTAACCCTTTATTGTCTTCTATTTTATCAGTCATCATTATTTATAAGATATTTTATTTCTTTTAGGAAATGGAACTACCTCTAGATAGAAGTTTAAAAAGAACTCGAGAACACATATCAATATTAGGGGACCACAAATACGGTGAGGAAATTATGTTACAAACAAACCAAACTGCTAATACCAAAATAATCAGGTATGAAGATAATAACTTTTTTACCAAGATACATACAACTGAAAAATTGCAACTCTCTCGCTCAAAAACAACAGTTCATAAATATCAAGATAAATCAGCAATGGAAAAAACAGATAATGGTCTTGGAAGTGATTACTGTCATCTACCAGGAAATGATAATCAAGAAAACCTCATTCATCAGAAAATAGGACAACAACATAATGTATTAACAAACTGGAGCAACAGGAAAGAAATGTATACATCACCAATAGAGGAACATACATTGGCCAACATGAACAATACAATCCAAACAACTGATAAGCCGTCAGCATCAATGACCACTGGAATACACAGCCTTCAATCCAATGAAGGTTATGATACAACAGTTACTAATCAATCATCGCATAATGTTATTTTCAAAAATAAATCATTAAACATAGTTCATGAATCTTCAGTCACTCATCCAATGCTTAATAATTCTGCTTCTGCAATAAAGTATAAGATTTTACAAGGTAAGAAACCATATTCAGATACTATATGCTACAAGATAGGAAATACCTTCCATTACAAACTTATCTGGGATATTATACAGAGAGATGTAGAAAATAAAATAAATCAACCTCAAATAGATAATGCCACAAGCAGTGGACACAATTTTGACATGAGAACATATAACCAACCAAGTCAAAACTTAGTAGGAAAAATAAATGAAGCAAATATATTATACTCTAGTCAACAGATGAACCATCCAATGGAAATCATGGCTAACACTGATGGTGACATGAACAATCCACAACAAAATTACAGGAATAAAGAAAATACATGCTACAATTACAATAATTTTAAAAGTGACTTTGATTACATGAATGGAATAAATCAAGAAAGTTCAAAAAATTTCAAGGAAACATGTTACATGCCTCAATCAGAAATTAATGAACAGGGTGCTTCTTTGAACATGCCCCCTACTAATTTTAATAAACAAAATAATAATTCAAATTGGAATTCGAATGAAACTGTTTTAAATAATCAACCTAATAATTTTCAATTTTCTCACAATAACATGAACCATTTTTTCCCTGATCAATCTAGTTATATGGATGATATTTAGGGAACTGGAAGATTTCCAGTGAAGACCTATATAAGGAAAAAATAAGGAAGGAAAAGTATCATGGATTTCAAACAACTTTTATGAATATTGTGATTTAAACTACCACTTGGAGAATTTCAGAGCGAAAATTAAAACCAAGACAGTAAAGCCTTTATAGTCCTGGAAGTATAACACTCAAATCTACTTAAAGTATAATTATTAGCATTAATAAATTAAAGTAAATTACAAAATAAATATTTGTTTATAAAACTGATAATGGAACATATTAGTAAAAAATATTGTTTAAAACTGTTACAGAATTTAGCTTGTATTTTCCATCATAGCGGCTGACAGTAATTGCTAGCCATTAATGGTTATGTTATTAATTAAAATTGCTTACTGTGGAGGCCAATTCCTCTCACAATAAAATCCATAGCTTAAAATACTGTTAAACCAAAATTTTAAGATCATCTCCTGCATCTTCATTCACTAAAATAGGTATTAAGTTCTCATACATCTTGAAACATAATTTATAGAAGGAAGGGAACTTCTAACCAACATTCGGTAGCCAACAGCTTAGTAGTTGCATCTTTTTTTGCACTTGTAGGAAATGAAACTTTGAAGAAATTGAGGAGCCTGAAAGCATTAAACCTTCCCTATTTAGGACTACCAAGATTGATCACCTTTAAAATTATATATAAAAAAGCATCTTGGTTTAGGAAGAGGTAGAATCATTATCAAAAATACAATTGTAATTTTGATAGCTCTACATTCAAAATTATGGTTTGGAAATAGCAACTCAATACTTCATTGATGAAAATAACTTTGGCTAGTAGGGGGGGGACCTGCTACTGGATCAATGTTTTTCTTTCCACCATCTTAACTGATTAAAGTTTTAACTTTGGAATGAAAATTCAGGATAGTCAAGGACTACTAACTTTGAATCACCTTATGTGGATTTTAAGTTAAGAGGTGAATTCATGCTTCAAGTCATATGCCTTGAATGGAAACCAAAGTAATTTTTTGTGGAATAGCAGATTTGTTTCATTTCCTAGCAGTCTGTCCCAAATTTATAGAAATTTATTTTTCTTACTATGAGTTAAAATCATTAACTGAGAGTTACCTTGTGAAACTTCTTAATTTTGATAATTAATCAATTTTACTATCAGAAGTAGAACACTTACTCAACAGTTTCTGGATGAATCATTTGAAATTATATTTATTTATTTTGTTTCATTATAATGATTTAATTATCATTAATGTTTTTTAAAAAATTTTTGGGAGTCTTTTTACTTATTTCATAAGTAATTTTTAATTTAATTACTTAATAAACTAATAAAGTAATTACTTATATTTTAATTTTTTTCTCTTTTTTGTGATACTTAAAATTATAATTTAGAGACAAAACTTTATTTTTCCGATTTATGATTGTAGACAATCAATCATTTTCTGTATTTATTTGTCTTTTTATTTGAATTCATGCAAATACTTTGGCTAATGGTTTTCCAAAGCTGCTTTGTATTTTATTGTAGTATTATTTTGAATGTATTTAAATAAATAAAAATTAGTATCTGAATCACTCTTGGTTTTTATTGGGTGAAGTCCTTGAACGTTTCTCATTCACTCCCTTTCCAGCAAATTTGTGTACAAAACTAACCACCTCTGGATTTGACAATACATACCAAATATATAATGCATTGGACCATCCTTTAGAGAAGTTAATGCGGCCAAAATGAATTTACAGCCAGTTTTGAATTTTGTGAATATATATATATATATAGAGAGAATAAGGAGTAAATTAGTAAGATGTCTGTTATTTATCTATTATTAGTTTTCTAATGATATGACAGCCGATATAACAGTAATGATTAAATTTATCAGTTTTTAGTTTATAATATAGTCTAGAGATATTTATCTTATACATAACTGCAACTGCTAATGTCTCCTTTTGTGTGACTTCATTAAAAAAAATTAAATAAATAAATAACTGAAACATTCATAATTAGCAGTTTCAGCTCAGCTACTTCAATAACATACATTTCATAAATAAGTAGTGAAAGAATAACTAATATATAAATGTTATAATTTGAATAATTTGGAGCTGTGGTGCATGCATCACATGTAACGTGAATGATAAAGGGGAGATATAATGAGAGATAAGTTGTGGTGGAAGGAAGAATCATTCTATTACCCCATAGGTAGGATAAAAAGTGGAAACCATTTGGGAACCCAATTTGCAGCATTACCATGCTGCCATTATAGTAGTGGACATAAAATATAAATTGGAACATCATGACCTCCTCAGTAGGATACAATAATGGCAAGCATGAATTGTTTAAAGTACCACATTTATATAAGAGAGCCTTTGATATAATTAGTTTGCAATGAAAAAATCCAACAGCAAAAATCTTTCATTTAATATCAAATATAATTCAAAGTAACCAAAAATAAATAATACTCCCAGAATAAGAGTAAAAAAACTAAACATCCATAGAAACATTTAACACAAAAATGCTTTTTAAAATTATTATTATAATTTTGTATAAATAAATTGAAAAATACAAATATATATATATATATATATATATATATATATATACACACACACACAAATGATACTAACGTGGTCAATTCCTCCCTAGTTTTTCTGTAACTCTCAGTTCCAGGTTTTGTCATTTCAGGAATACTTTTTTTATTTTTGTCCTTTTTCTTGCGATTGACAATCTGTGCAATTGGTAAAGCACAATGTTTTGGAAGAAGCTGTAAAATAAAAATAAATAAAAAATCATTAGTAAATATAATAAAGTATAATATATTTTTTAATTTAAAATATATAGAATATATAAATGATAATTGAAAAAAATAAAAATCAATGGCTCAATATTTCTTGAAAGAGACAAGACCAACCTGTTCAGTGGAGGATACAATTATAATAGGTAAGCAGAAGCATAAAACAATTAGTCATATATAATACCTCACAAACTTAATTAAGGCTTTCTAGACCTTTCTTTTAGGATCATTGACAATCAGTGAATGACTGAAAACATGTTGATATCTATTTATAGATTCAAAAAATAAATAAACATACATTTACAAATTATAACACAGACAATGGGAAATTCCTTATGTCGAGGTCTGAGTGTAATTCATATTATGTACTGATTACATATGTAAATAAAATAAATGAGCAATAATATTTCTAGATTATTATATACATATATTATATGCACAATCTCTTATTGCACACTAAAATGAAATTCAGAAACATTTCCTTGATAATTTTTACCACATAATAGCAGTTTCTGAAACCTGGTTAAAACCTTTTATCCCTCCCTCCCAGATTTCCCTACTCAACTATTCCTTCCTACGCCATGACAGATCTGATCGCACGGGAAGTGGTGTTGTCTTGTATGTCCATGACAGTCTTAAGGGCAAAATTCTCTCCTTCTCATGACTTTATCGCATGGAATAAACGTTTGTTGAAATTTATGCTATTACCTAAGTTTACCGCCCTCCTCTTGTTCCATTTGATATCTTTGAATCCTCCCTTGTCAACCTGGTTTCCTATTACAACAACATTATTATCACCTTTCCCTGCGTTCGAAATCAAGCATCACAATTTCAATCCTGAAGACTTCTTTTTCTCCCACGAATTACTTTCCACTATCCTAAAATCCCACACTAATGATATTGGTCCTGATAATATCCCAGTAAAACTAATAAAATCCAGCCTTCCTGTCCTTTACCATATCTACAACTTTTCATTACAAAACTCCATTTTCCCATGCTCCTCGAAAACTGCCCTAGTCTGACCTTTGAATAAAATTTTCAATCCTACCTTACTGTACGATTTCTGTCCTAACCAACCTTTCAAAGCTGTTAGAACGCCTTGTCCAAAATCAACTCTACAACTTCCTAGAGGAACGTTCCCTTATCAACTCATTCCAATCTGGCTTCAACCTGGCTACTCAACACAATCCGCTCTCCTTAAAATAACCTATGACCTCCAAAACTCCATTGAACATCAAAACCTTACTATCCTCATCCTTTTAGATTTTTCAAAAGCATTGGACACAGTTGACCATAACATCTTCCTTACTAAATTGAACAATCTTCCTCCATCCAACACTGCCCTATGTTAGTTCAAATCAGTCCCAGGTCAACCTCCATCTAAGACCCTCCTCCTCTCCTTTGGTCCCTCAAGATTCCTCTCTTTCTCTCACTCTGTTTGCTATTTATATTAATGACCTTCCCCTCCTGATCCATCACTCCCAATACCATATCTATGCAGATGACTTTCAAATATACCTCAGGCCAGGGTTCTGCATGGACCAAGTGCCATCTGAGATAGATAAATAGATCTTGTTGTTGGGATGGATTTTTCAGTTTAATATCATACTTTGTTTTATCTTCATTTACTCATAGATCGATTAGCTCTGTTTTTCTTATTAAAGTCTTAGCGAATCTCTCTATGTCTTCTGTCCTTCCCGCTCTCCGACCTATTATCAGCAACAGAAAAACTCCAAGAAGACTTGGATAGGATTTGTGACTGGGCAAGAGCTAACAAGTTGAAGTTGAATGCGGAAAAGAAGAAGGCAATTTAATAGGCTCCAATCACCTCCTTAAAACTGTTCCTATTATTCCAACTCTGTTCCTACATGATAATCTCATCAAATTTTATCCCCTCCATTTTATATCTCCATTGACTTGTAGCCTGATTTGTTCTGCTCCTTTAAACAGAGTCTGAGTGAGTCTCTCAATATCCTCTTGATTATTTCTGAGGACAGCTATATCATCCGCATATGCTAAGATTTTGAGTTTCATTCCAACGTGCACCCCTACATCTTCGAGTGATGTTGTTCTTATTACTTTCTCTACTGCTAAGTTGAACAGCAACGGCGAGAGTCCATCTCCCTGCCTCAAACCCGTTCGAACTTCAAAGGCTTCAGATACTTCTCCTAATATTAGTACCTTACATTCAGGATCATTAGTACAAACCTTCGTCAACCTCACTAACTTACCGGGAACACCCAGCTCAGTCATGATCTTCCAGAGACAGTTTCTGTCCACTGAGTCATATGCTGCTTTGAAGTCGACAAATAATGCTTGTATGACCTGATCTACTTCCCATCATTTTTCAAGTACTTGTTTTAGGATGAATATCTGATATCATACTCCTTCCTCTCCTCAACCTGTTTGATGTTGCTTATTATGTTTTCATGATACGGATATATCCGATTTAGTAGAATATTAGTCATTATTTTATAGGCAACCGGAAGAAGTGCTATGCCTCTGTAATTTCTACATTCATACATGGAGCCCTTCTTAAGGATAGGACAGATCAACCCTGTGTTCCATGCTTCTGGTATCCGTTCCTTCTCCCATATCTTCTGGATTAGATCTAACAGCTTGGCTCTGAGGTCATCTCCCCCATCCTTGAACAATTCTGATTGTAGGTTGTCTATCTCTGGAGCCTTTTTTCTTTTAAGCCTGCCGATAGCTATTTCCACATCCAGAATATCTGGTTTTTCAACCTCAAGTGGGTCGATGTCCTCAGTGCGGTCCATGTCTTCTTCGTTTGTGGGGTGCCCTTGATTAAGCAGCTGCTGGAAGTGTTCCTTCCATATGCTTAGGATATTTTTTTTTGATGCCGTCAATTTTCCATCTTTCCCTCGCATTTGTGTATTTCTCACTTTATATCCTACCCTTTCTTTCCTGATATCTGCGAATAATTCGCATATATTTGCAGCCTGCCAGTTTTCCTCAATAGTTTGTAATCTTTCTTTGAGGATATATATGGATGGATATATACACACATATTTTTAGTCAATAGAACAAGCCTTCTCCAATTTTATCTATCTTAGGCAATTGTTTTCTAATTTACAGCTAGCAACTCTGCAGTTATCTTTGTTAATTCTATCTTATCATCTGATTTAATTGGCTTTCCACATGATCTTTTGCCAACTATGGAGGCATCGATTGTTGTGTAGAGACTTCCAAATGAATTGCTTAATACATGTACCATCTATCTTAATCTCTTTATTTTCATACCATGAAATATAGTCTGAAAATTTTTGTAAACAGATCTTTACTGTGGTCCTTCTCCTCCATGCGTTAGTGCTTTGATACCAGATTGTTCCAATTATCATGCAGAAGATTTTTCCTACAAAGCTTTAATACTTTTCAACACAGCCATAGATCAAAACTAGCTTCATCATAGCATTGTAAATTCTTAATTTGAGATTATAGAGATCTTTTTGTTACTTTAATACTTTTGAAGGAGATAAGAAAGCTCAGTCTATGCTTGTTATATGCCGGTCTATTTGAATTTGTCTACAATTGGAAACAATTTTCCTTCCATGTAAATCTTGTTGTAGGCCTAAAGATTAATATCCCTAAAAGAAATTATATAACAATTTTGAAATATAAAGATGAAAATAACTATATCTGGAGGGAATAGGATACTGTTTTGACAGAGTATCAATGTTTAAATACCTGGGAACAACTATCTCAGAAAATAATGAAATAGAAGAGCGAATAAAAATGAAAATAGTGGCGGGTAACAGGTGCTATTGTTCTGAAAAAGTATTGTTCTAAACAAGGATCTAACAAGAGCCCTAAAGGTATAAGTGTGCAGTAAATTATTAAGTCTCTGGTCCTGTAAGGAAGTGAAACATGTACAACTGTAAAAATGAACGACTACTTAACACATGGGAAAGAAAGATTCTGCATTTGATATATGATGAGAACAAATCAGGAGTTGATGTACTTATATGGCTCACCTGATGTCTCCTCCATTAAGAAAGGTAGATTAAGATGGTTAGGTAATGTGCAAAGAATGAAAGAAAGTAGAATCCCCAAGATGATTATGTCGGGACACCCAGGAGAAAGAGGGGAAGGCCAAAGTTGTGTTGGCTGGAAGATGTGGAAGCGGACCTGTGGATGCTTGGAGTCAGAAATAGGAGGAGGATGGCGGAGTACAGGTTGGAGTGGAGAAGGATCGCGGGGGAGGCCAGGGTTCTGCATGGACCATAGTGCCATCTGAGATAGATCTTGTTGTTGGGATGGATTTTTCAGTTTAATATCATACTTTGTTTTATCTTCATTTACTCATAGATCGATTAGTTCTGTTTCTCTTATTAAAGTCTTAGCGAATCTCTCTATGTCTTCTTGATTGCTTCTAAGGATAATTATATCATCTGAATATCCTAGAATATTATAAAGATAGATAGAAAATAAATTTCATTCTGGGGCAAGATCCCGTAAGAATAACAAGCATAGAAGTATGATGGGTAGGAATGGGTAATTCCAACTACAGGTCGGAACGGAATCAGGGTGGCTACCAAATTGTCCGAGTAAAATTCCTTGACTTTTCCCTGTCTAATGAAAGTTTTCCCTGAACAATATGTCAAGGGACACAAATGTTAAAAATATATAGTTTATAACTATAACTATATATATAATTTATAACTATCTAATTTATCATAGTCTGTTCAGTCTTTTAAAAAACAAATATAATGTTCAAGAGGAAGCATTTTTTAAACATAATTAGGATTTTTTTATGATAGAAAACTGACCTTAAGTAATTTATTTTTATTGTCTATTTACTAATACTTTATTTTCATAAAGTAAGAGTATGTAAAAGTTGATACTTGACGCTTTTATCTACTATGAAATAAACTGAGCTACAGGCTATTCTTATTTTAATTTAAGGCAATTTAGTTTTTTTATTTCCACAAACAGAACAATAATTATCCATA